AAGTAAACAAGATAGAGCTTGGGCTTGTCGGCCCAGTTCCAGAAGTGGAAGTTACAGAAGAGGAGGCACCTGGGCCGTGTGACATGAGCTGGGGAAACTCTCTCAGAGAGTTGGAGTAGCACAGTTGCCTGTTGTAGGGCAAAAATCATGGGCTGTGTTAATGTCCTAATGTGTAGCTAGCAGATTGTAGCTAGTTTGTACTGTCTGGTGAAGTGTACAGACTTTTAAAAAAAAAAAAAACAACACCTGTGAAGTGTATGTGTACACAATAAACTGAAAGAAAAGAAAACTCTAGCCTTTGGTGTGTTCTGTGTGTATATGTGTGTGTGAGAAACTTGAGATTTTTTTTCTGCATGATAATTTTTTTATCATCTGTGGAAATGAGATGATTGGGGGGGGAGTGGTATTATAATATGAACTGTTCAACAGCCTGGAGAAGGTAAGTAACCAAGATTGAATTTATAATTCATGTTTTAAAGTGTTGCATTGTGTATTGAGGATGATCTTATTCAGCTTTTCTTGAATGTTTGGGAAAACTTTTCAGAGTTCTGTTCATGGCATTGCTTTTAATGAAGATTAGAGCATAGACAGAGGTAGCACTGACCTTTATCTCAGACCTTTGTCCTACTTAGTGTACTATCTTTGCAGATGGTATTTCTGGGACAGTATGGCACTATATCCTTCCTGATTCTATATGTAGGGTTCTTGTGTATTTTAGAATTCATTGCTATTTGAAGGCTAAGAGTTGGGAAATTTATCATCTGAGTTTATTCCAACTTTTGTTACTAAATAAAAATTAACTCTGAAATGACCCAGTTATGAGCCTTTTATTATACAGAAATGGACATAGGGTATTGTCTAGTACATTGAGTTTTCTTGAAAAAGATGTGTTTAAGAAATATATTAGAAGTCACAGATCTTTCTGGCTTAAACTGTGAAGCTTGTTAGGATTCTAAGGAAGTAGAAGATACAGTCTTGTGGGGTGATAGAAAGGAATTCAGTCAATCCAGGAATTAGAAGATTAGTAACTATGGTATAGGGGCACCTAGGTAGCTCGGTTGGTTAAGCATCCAACTCTTGATCTCAACTTAGGCCTAGATCTCAGGCTCAAGCCCTTAGTTGGGCGCCACACTGGGCTTGGAGCCTCCTTAAAAAAAAAAGGAAAAGTATAGTATATTCCCAAAGCCATCTATAAATTGGCATGTGATACAAGCAGTGAAGCCCTAAAAATGGGAGAAGATTGTAGAGGAGATCCATTAAAGGATACAGACTTTGGGTTGGTAGAGAAGGTAACAGATGTGCTTAACAGCAGATTGGATTAAAGGTCAAGAAACTGACCAGGAGGCTGTAGCATTTATTCAGGAACAGAGGATGGGCATTGAGAAAAATTACTGTGGATGGAAATTGAGAAGTGGGCTTGCTTACTGAATATAAGAGAAGTAAAAAGGGTTAGGAAAATAGTGTTGATAAGGGGGAAAAGGGAATTTGGGAAAGCAAATGATTTTGGAGATAATCAGGAAGAGAAGTGATTTTAGTTAGAAATGTTGAGTTGAAGCAGAGGGTAGGGCACCTAAAGGGAATTGACCTTTGGGTACATGGAAAAAATTAGACCAGAATGCATATAAGAAGTAAAGGTGGAGGTATGGGAGCTATTTGAGTAGAGATCAAAGTTGAAACTTCAAAATGTAGACATTATTTTAAGTTTTAATGAGGAAGCAGAGGCCAAGCAAGAACATAGAAGGATTTCCTGCAACTTTTAAAAGAGAGGAGTGGGGTGCCTGGGTGGCTCAGTCAGTTAAGAGTTCTATTCAGCTCAGGTCTTGATCTCAGGGTCATGAGTTCGAGTCACACGTTGGGCTCCATGCTGGGCATGGAGCCTACTTAAAAAAAAAAAAATGGAGAGGAGAAAGGGGTAAGAAAACCAGGATAGTGTAGTGTAATGAGAGGAAGGGAAGATGCTTTTAAAACTTGATACTGTAGTCCTTCTTTGAAGTGAGTTGGATATGACCAGAAGAATGCCACAGATAATTTTAAAGTATGTTTTGAGGATTCAGTGGTTGGTAGATTAAAAATGTCTACACTGAGCAAAATATCTCTTGTCCCTCAAATGTATTGTCTTCCAGTTGAGTTTAAGGGTGATTTGGGATAGAGGAATTCTGTTCAACTAGCCATGCTCCTGTTCCTTTCTTTGGGAGTATGAGGAAACCCAAGAAAAAATTACTGGGTAATACCTCTGTTACACTGTTTGACATGGGGCTTTTTCATTTTATTCCTAATGACAAACATTTCATCTCCTGATGTCTCCCTTCAGCTAGCTTTTATTCTTTGTAATGGTGAGTAGAAAGAAGTTTTTGATCCCTTATCATTCCACTGAAGTTTGGAGATGAAAATGCCTTAGAAATAGTGGTATGAGTGAATTTATTGCATTTTTCTGTGTATTTACAGATGGGGCGTGAGTGGGTTTGGTTCGATTCGGAGCAAGACTATCCCAATGACTCTGAGCTGAGCAACGACTGCAGGTCCCTCTTCAGCTCATGGGATTCCAGTCTGGATCTTGATGTGGGCAGCTGGAGAGAAACTGAGGAGCCAGGGGCTGAGGAACTAGAGGAAAACAGCCCAGGGAGAGAACCTAGTGAGCTGCTTGTGGGGGACGGAGGCAGTGAGGAATCTCAGGAAGAAGCAGAACAAGTCAGCCGTCAGAATCTACTCCACTTTCTCTCTGAGGTAATGGGGAACCATTGTTTCCAAAGTTGAGAGAGTCTCAACTTTCTAAGAGAATACTTGCCCATACATATTTCTACCACTCTTAATATTGTTTACTAAAATGCAAGCTCCACAGTGGCAGGAACTAAGTTAATTGTTATGACTCTAGCACTTGGTGCTAATACACAATATGTGCTGAATATGTTCTTTCTGACCGAATGTTCTAAGATCCCAGTCATTAGGAGCCCAAGGTCATAGTAAGTGGAATTTCCGTATGCAGGACTGCCTTATGAATATCTGCTGCAATTCATTTTTCGGAGTCATAGGAGGTGACACCTGAACTCTTTGAAGATTATAACATTATGACTTCAAGGCAATATTTTAGTGTCCTTACTACCCTGGTTTAGGGTTGAAGGCCAGAAATAAGCTGAATTGGACACTATATTTATGTGGCAACTTCACACATTCAGAAGAACCTAGGTTAAGATCAGCGAGAATCCATTTTTTTTTTTTGCGAGAATCCATTTTGTGTTGCTACTTCTTTCTGCATCATCTGTGGCGGACAAAATTTTCAGCAGTTTTCTAGACTGCCATTCCCAATTTGATCAGAGTTGACACTTGACATGAAAAAATTAGAGCACAAGCTCTTTGAAGAGGCAAGAACCGTGTCTATCTTGTTTACTATTAGGTTCCTAGCAACTAGTTCAGTATCTGGGTATCTGAGTTATTTTTTAAAAAGATTTTATTTATTAGAGAGCACAAGCAGGGGGCGTGGCAGGCAGAGGGAGAGGGAGAAGCAGGTTCCTCATTGAGCAGGGAGCCTGACATGGGGCTCAATCCAAGGACCCTGGGATCATGACCTGAGCTGAAGGCAGACGCCCAACCAACTGAGCCTCCCAGGCACCCCTATTTTATACATTTTATTTTATTTATTTTTTTGAGATTTTATTTATTTATTTGACAGAGACACAGTGAGGGAGGGAACACAAGCAGGGGGAGTGGGAGAGGGAGATGCAGGCTTCCCGCTGAGTAGGGAGCCCGATGCGGGGCTCGATCCCAGGACCCTGGGATCATGACCTGAGCCGAAGGCAGACGCTTAATGACTGAGGCACCCAGGTACCCCTATTTTATACATTTTAAATGATAGAATGAATGAGTTAATCTGTTTGCATCTCAAACTGAGTCATAGTGGCAGTGTAATCATGTAACATTATTGATATGTAGATAATGGTTTCCACTGGTGTTCCTATTCATACTATGATTGCAGGTAGCTTATTTAATGGAGCCATTGTGCATTAGCAGCAAAGAATCAAGTGAAGGTTGCTGTCTTTCATCTGGTACCAGACAACAAAAGGGAACGGAAATGGAAGCTACTGAAGGAGAAGAGTCATGCAGAGAGCCTGAACAGCCTTCAGCAAGGGTAGAACCCTTGGTAGCTGAGAAGCCACTGGGAGAAAATGGAAGGCCAGAGGTGGCTCTAGCTCCCTTAGATATTTGTGCAATTCAGCGACTATCCAGGGAGAGTGAAGAGGTGAGTGAGTAACTTAAACCAGCTGGCTGATTGGTCCTCTGCCCAGGGAGGCAGAACACAGTAGTTACTGCATGTAGGCTAACCCCAGAGAGTTTGGCTTCCTGGGTGCAAATCCAGGTTTCAACACCACTTAACTGTGTGACCTTAGGTGTGTCAGTGAACATCTTAGAACCTCAGTTTTTTCTGCTGTAAATGGAATAGTAGTGCTCTCTCTACATTAGGTTTTCTGTGAAGTTTAAGTGAGACATTTCATGTAAAGCACTTTGCTTAGTGCCTGGCTCACAGTGAGCAATCAATAAAATTTAGAATATCATTATGATTAATACTAGACCAGCAACTCCAGGGCCACAAATCATACAGTTTTAAAAGAATACAGCGTCCATTTAGAAATTAGTATATTGCTCTTTTTATTTTTTTCTAGGGGTACAGAACCATAGTTCTCCAGCCAAATTGTTACCAAGAATTCATTGACTAAGGTCTAGTTAAGTCACCTTGACCCTTTCTACCTTAAAGTCAGCCTTCACTTACCCCATGCAAGTAAAATTACCTTGCAGATAGTAAATCTCTTTCTAAAGTTCTCTTTGTTTCCTGGCATTCCCAGGGGGAGGTTCAGCAAGAATCCAAAGAGGAGGACGAGGGTGAAGGGTATGTGTCAGAGTTGGAAGGCCAGCCCTCTTCAGGTGAGTGTGATGATGGCTTCAGCATTCAGGAGACTCCTCTGGTGGATATCCTTTTCAGCCGTGCTACCTCTTCAAAGTTGTAAGTATGGATTTTTATCCAAGGTTGTTAAGATTCAAACTTTTATTTCTGTTTATGCCTATTTGAATTCATTACCATGAACATGGATTACTTTTATAAATTAATAAAAGGAAATTAAAATTGGAAAACCCTAGAAGTAGAATTAAATATAATTTTATTGTATAAATAGAAGTCTATGTTTTCCTCTTATAAAAGAAATCTGTTTCAGGCATCTGGCTGGCTCAGTCAGTAGAGTGCATGACTCTTGATCTTGGGGTTGTAAGTTTGAGCTCCATGTTAGGCATGGAGCCTACTTTTAAAAAAATCTGTTTCATCAACATTGAGAATCTCTTTCATAAATAACCTTTCTCTATTTTTTTTAAAGATTTATTTATTTGAGAGAGAGAGAGAGTGAGAGAGCATGCGTGAGGCAGGGAGGGTCAAAGGGAGAGGGAGAGAGAAACCTTAGCAGACTGCACTCAGCATAGAGCCTGATGTGGGGCTTGGTCTCACAACCCTGAGATCACAAACGGAGCCAAAACCAAGAGTCAGACACTTAACCGACTGCGCCTCAGTAACCTTTCTCTTTAATTACTATATTTATTCAGGAAACATTGCTCATTCAGATTGTCCCTCAAGTCTAATACTGAAACTGTACTTCTTTCAAAAATACTAAAACAGCTCCTTGTAACTTGAAATTAAAAATTATTTTGAACTTTTGATCTCCTTTGTTTCTTTTTCACAGATCCTGGGAAATTGTTTATATAATTATCTTCTTATAAATAATTATGAAGCTAAAGGGCACACTTTGGAATCTTAATTTTTTTTAGTAAAGGGAATTTCTTTTTAAATCAGAAAAAAAAAGTTGTTTTTGTTATGGTAATAAATAGTTCCTTTTCTGGGCCTGGTCTTATATCTATCTACTGAGAGAAGATAGCATGAAGTGCTGTTTTTTAAGTAGCAGATTTCAAAATTTTGTTACGCAAGTAGAACACAGCTTAATACCTAGGTTGTTGAAGAATTGCTTCCTTTGCTTTTCTGTAACTCCCTGTGTAAGTATGAGCAGAGGGCAGGCTGACTATCCAAAAAACAGGAAATCTCTAATCTGGGACATTTTATCTCATGATATTTTAGTACCTTGAATGGCAAAATCCACACTCTTATTTTAGGATTTAGGATAAACATGGAATATTTATTGGAAAACAATAGATAATAGTAATTGAGTTTCCTTGGCCAGATGGCGTAAGGGGAGATAGAAAGCTGAGTTCTTATGTTATAATCAGGCAAGCTTAAAACTACTTTGAAAGATAGACATTCTCCAGGCTCCTCTTTTCTTGGTTCTCCCTTAGTTGGTACTAACTCTCAGGAAAAATAGAAGTAGAGCGCGTGGAGCGCCACTCTGAGCCTGCAGTTCCTTTCCATTCCCACATTTTTACTTGTAGTTGCTTGGCATGCATTTCCAAATAGGTGGAAATAAAGGTAAGCTAGGGATTATTTCATAAAATATTACAAAAGTGATCAATTATGAGGTTACAAAACCTTAGGCAGTACCTTTCATATAATGGAAACTTAATACCTGTTGTGTGGATGTATGAACAAAAATGCCCTGGTACCAAGGAACTATTATTCATTCTGATCAACTGACCAGAAACAAAGGAAGAGGTTTGTTTTGGTCTTTAAATGCCTTGTTCTGATAGGGTTCTGGATTTAAGGACAAGTTGATTTTTGTGTATATAATTTAGATGCAGATGAGATACTATATCCTGAAACTGGATAGTTGTTTGGAATTGCTCAACTTGGAGAAAGATAAAATGAGATGTGAGTTGTGCTCAAATGGACACACACAGTATGGTACATAAAGCACAAAGAGGGTGTGAAACATTAGGTGTGGGAAGAACCCATTTTGAGAGATTAAGTATATAAAGTGGGAAGTATAACATAATGTTAAACTCTGGAGTAAAGAGGAAACTTGTCAACTGGGAAGATTATAAGATGAAATAAAACATTGGACAGTAGCACCTGGAAGAAAAAAAAATAGACAATTTAGCCCAGGGAAGAAAGGGCCATGAGGAAAAATGAAGTTTTCTTAGGTATTTTCTTTTCTTTTCTTTTTTTTTTAAAAGATTTTATTTATTTGACAGAGAGAGACACAGCGAGAGAGGGAACACAAACAGGGGGAGTGGGAGAGGGAGAAGCAGGCCTCCCGCCGAGCAGGGAGCCCGATGTGGGGCTCGATCCCAGGACCCTGGGATCATGACCCGAGCTGAAGGCAGACGCTTAACGACTGAGCCACCCGGGTGCCCTTCTTAGGTATTTTCTTAGTGAAAAGGAGAAATACGTAAATTGTGTAGTATTCAGATGAAACATAAGAGAATTCCCTAAGATGTGAAACCAAGTATTTCCTTCTCAGGAAATGTAGGAGAAATACTTATTAATGTGGCATATTTCTGCATAAACATAGGACCAGGTTGATTTTTGAAATACTTAATACTGTGAAATATTTGAGCACTTACTATGTGCCAGGCACTTGGGAAGCATCAGTGAACAAAGACTACTTTCACACACCAGTTTTTTAGAGTCACAAGTGCTGAAGAGGAAATCAGCAAGAGCCCAAAAGACAGAAGCAGTTGTAGATTGGTAGTAGAAAGTAACTACTTCATTAGGTAATAGTGACCAGTAAGAGAATATTTGTAGAGTTTGGGGGTCTCATATGGAAGCATTCAATATGTTTTAATTTCTGGTGTTAGTTCCTTCCCATATTAAGTAGGAGCACTATATATTGAGGAAATCTCTTTACCTACCTGGGAGAGACAGAATACCATATGTGAAGTTACTATTTCCTTTTTGTCCGTTTTATCCCATAGGTCTGATCTAGGCCAGAGTGACCCTATTCAGGATCACTTGTTATTTAAGAAGACTCTCCTGCCAGTCTGGAAGATGATTGCCAGTCACAGGTAGGTATCCAAGCCACTCTTGGCCTTCACAGCCACTCTTTTCATTTATAATGACTTTCCAGAGTTTCTTCATCCTCTCAGAGTTTGTCCTTTAACAGGTTCAGCAGTCCTTTTCTGAAGCCTGTGTCAGAAAGGCAGGCCCCAGGATACAAGGATGTGGTGAAAAGGTCAGTGGAAAAGGGGTCAGAAAAGGTTGGTTGCTTTTATATCTGTCTTTTCATACTTTATTTCTGGTCTATTCGATCATTTCTTTCTTTAAAAAATAAAGATTTTATTTTTAAGTAATCTCTACACCCAACATGGGGCTTGAACTCACAACCCCGAGATCAAGAGTCACATGCTCCACCAACTGAGCCAGGCGCCCTGATCATTTCTTTATTTCATTTGCATTACTTACAAACTCAAGATATATTTTACATTTGAACAAGTTTGTAAAGTTATGATAAGCTTGGTCTTCATTTGAGAAGGAATACAGGGAACAAAAGGATAATAATAGGCTTTTTTCTTTTTTAGTATTGATTTTTAAGTAATATCCATTCATTACAATCTTACATAGCCTTTGATAGTTTTGATACTGTTCTTTTGGAGCAAAACTTTAAAAAGAACACTATATTCATCAAACCATTGTAGGTATGCTAGGGCAAAGATGGTAATCCAAATGGTTGTTACAAACATTGGTTGATAGCACTATTTTGGATTTTTATAGCATAATTCGTCTAAAATGCTGTCATACACCAGCGTGTTAATAGAGTGTAAAAGATCAGGAAAGGACCTTTGCAGACAGACTCCTTTATTCTATACGTGAGGAAAGTAAGGCTCAGAGGTGCTCATGACTTGGGGTGATCAACAGTGAATAGCAGAGCTAGAACTAAACCCCAGATTCTTAACCTCCTAGTTCAGTCCTCTTTCTACACTGCTGTGTCTTCCCTTATATACCCACTCTCTGTGTCTCATTAAATAGTTATTTATCTAAACATTCACTTGATTCACACTCTTCATCTCCACAAAAGGAGAAAAAAAATTCTTAGCTTTTGATTATATAGTAAGAGAAGCAGATTAAACAACTAGTATATGACTACACATTGTGAAGAGTCAGTAACTCCTCTGTGACAGACTAATCATTGGAGCTCTTTGCAACTTTGGTATGTGGGGCCAGCACCCCTCCTACAGTGGTATAGTGGCTGGGTGTGTGGGCTCTGGAGTCAGGCTACCTCTAAATTGGAATCCAAGCTGTGTGACTTTGAGCAAGTACGTAACTTCTTTAGCATTGGTTACCCACTGCCAGTTGGTGATAATAAGGTACCTAGTTTATAGGTTTACTGAGAGGACCAAGTGAATTAATATAGAAAGTACCTTGTACTTGGCAAGGTAAGCACTTGGCCTATTGTAAAAAGTCAAATGTTAGCTGCTGTTGCTGTTTTATTATCTGATGGGAATTAAGAGCTGGTTCTCCAAGAGAGCATGTTAGGTCCCACATAAAGGTCTGATTTCCTGTGGTTTCTCTTGGCCACCTGCAGACCCATGGACTTAACTAGCTTAAAGAGGAATCTGTCTAAGGGACGGATTCGCACCATGGCTCAGTTCCAGCGGGACCTGATGCTGATGTTCCAGAATGCTGTGATGTACAATGACTCTGGTCATCATGTGTACCATATGGCTGTGGAGATGCAGCGAGAAGTCTTGGAGCAGATTCAGGTACTGTATATAGAGAGCTGTAAGGAAAAGGAGTACAGCCTCTGGAATCTAATTTTAGAAAGTCTGTGAGAATAAGAGTGATATTAAAGTGACCTTGTGTTCTCAGAGTTTATGTTTAGAGGTGGCTAAAGGCCCTGAGGTATTGACATCGTACCTACTGCTTTGGAAATCTCTAAGTCTCTTTAGGACCGGCTTTCATAGATAGTGAAGTAAAGTAGTGTAGGAAGACAGCAGCAGAGAAGTCTCAAGAGAGCTGGGGATAGATAAGTAACTGGAGCTCCTGCTTCCAGTGCCTCAAGTCAAAGGGCTAAACATGCAGACCAAAGGCTGGAATCACTATCCATTTTTTGGTTGCTACACCTGTTGATATTAATGTATGTTCACACTGTCCCATCTACAGGGGTAAGACATGGTAGCCAGAAGGTGACATTGGGGGTTTCTTTTCTGGGCAAGACCATACATAAAAGGAAAAAAAAGCATAGTCAAACCTCATTGCAGAAGAAGAAAATTGCATTCAAATCTCTATAGTTTTTAAGATTCATCACCTTGCTATCTGCCTTGACTATAGGTGCTGAGTATTTGGTTAGACAAAAGAAGAGACTTAAATAGTTTGGAATGAGAACCAGCCAACCCTGTGGATGATGGAAAACCTCTTCTGTTAACCTGACCTCTTATTGAGACTCAGAGAAGATCCCAGTACTTGTTTACCAGTTTTCTATTGTCTTTTCTAGTAAGAAAAATGTTAACTCACAACCAAGGAGTCAAAGGTGTCTGTGGACATAATATAAAACAGGAAAGCTGAGATTTGGGGTTATGCTGTAAATGTTGCTCACTTCTTTGTTCCTTAGGCTTGATTTAGATGTAACTAAATTAAGCCTCTTGTAACTGCTCTATAAATAAATGTTATTTCACAAGTTGAAGATTGCTTTTTTTTTATTATGTTAATCACCATACATTACATCATTAGTTTTTGATGTAGTGTTCCATGATTCATTGTTTGCATATAATACCCAGTGCTCCATGCAGAATGTGCCTTTTTTTTTTTTTAAGACTTTATTTATTTATTTGACAGCGAGACACAGAGAGAGGGAACACAAGCAGGGGGAGTGACAGAGGGAGAAGCAGGCTTCCCGCTGAGCAGGGAGCCCGATGCGGGGCTCGATGCGGGGCTCGATCCCAGGACCCTGGGATCATGACCTGAGCCGGAGGCAGACGCTTAACGACTGAGCTGCCCAGGCGCCCCAGAACGTGCCCTCTTTAATACCCATCACCAGGCTAACCCATCCTCCCACCCCCCGAAGATTGCTTTTTTAATGATTACAGAATCTGGGAATAAAGGGAACACTATCTGGTGGAATGACTAAGGTATTTGACGTGGGTTTCTTACATATACTGTCTGAAACAGGATGGTGTGGGATGAGGGGGAGTGCCTCTGATTTGTCTCATTATAAAGTTGATATAATTGAAGCATCCTTTAAATGGCAAGGAGGGTGAAATAAGATGAGGAAAATGTTGGAAAACGTCCAGTGCTCTAAGATTGGCAGGGGGGAGTAAAGACGGCTGTAGGCGGGCTCCTCTTGATTGAAAGGAACGACCCAGAATCTGCGGCGCCCTCTGCTGGGATTGGCCCTCTGCAGCCACCGTCCCTGAACTGTGCTTTGGGTCTCCTAGCAACAAGGGGTGGTGGCCCGGCGGAGCGGGCGCCGGGTGAGTGCGCAGGTGAGGGCTGTGCGCAGGGATTTGCGAGTGCGCCTCGGAAGGGCACCGGGACCTGGGACCTGGGACCAGGCCAGACCCTATGTGTGGTCTTCCAGGAGGGGCGGGGACGGGGGGACGGCTTACCTGCCGCTGGGTAGAAAGTTGCTACAGAGTGGCTGACCCGGTCTTCACCTGCAGTCCCGAGAGTCCGTGCCAGGGCAAGGCCTTCAGACTGCCCCTTGGCCTCTGTACCTCAACGAAAGCGCTTAGGAAAACCGATAGACGTAGAGTAGAAATGGCGTGGTTTTTTGTTTTTTTTTAAGTTTATTTGTGTGATCTCTACACCTAACCTGGGGCTCGAACCCACGAGACCCAGAAATCAAGAGTCACATGCTCCTCGGACAGAGCCAACCAGCCTCCCCAACATCGTTTGTTTTTTTAAAGATTTTATTTATTTAGGGCGCCTGGGTGGCTCAGTTGGTTGAGCGACTGCCTTCGGCTCAGGTCATGATCCTGGAGTCCCGGGATCGAGTCCCGCATCGGGCTCCCTGCTCGGCGTGGAATCTGCTTCTCCCTCTGCCCCTCCCCCCTCTCATGTGCTCCCTTTCTCTCTCATTCTCTCTCTCTCAAATAAATAAATAAAATCTTAAAAAAAAAAGATTTTATTTATTTATTTGACAGAGATCACAAGTAGGCAGACAGGCAGGCAGAGGGAGAGGGAGAAGCAGACTCCCTGCTGAGCAAGGAGCCCGATGCGGGACTCGATCCCAGGACCCTGGGATCATGACCTGAGCCAAAGGCAGATGCTTAACCATCTGAGCCACCCAGGCGTCTCCCCAACATCGTATTATTGAGACACTGCTTATAGAAAAAGATTCACCAGTTTATAACTGTAAATTAATAACATCAAGCGCCTAATAATGCTGTTCTTAATCACAATTACATTAAAATTTGGGGTGGGGATGATGCATGTCATTGCAGTTGATACCTGTGGAGAATCTCCTAAATTGTACCCTGAAAAGGCAGAATGGAGATGTCAATGCCCCCACCTCAGATATATGTAGAAAAAACTCTGGCTATTATCAAACCAGATATTGCTGACAAAGAGGAGGAAATACAAGATATTATTCTCAGATCTGGATTCACCATTGTTCAGGTAACTTTTGGGCATGATGATCATGGGTTTTTTTCTCTCTTTGCTCTTTAAAAAAAAATACTTAAATATGTTAACCTATTTAGTGCCTTAGTACTTAGTACTAAACTTAGGTTTAACTTCTAAGTATAAAAGTTATATATGTTAGTTTTAATTTTTTTTATACTTCAAAAGAATATAAAATGATAATTAAAATTCCTTTTTCCTCCTCCTCTGCTCTCCCACCCAAGTCTCAGTCTCCAAGAAAAGGCATCTACTTAATGCTTTCTGTCCTTGCAGGATTTTCTAAGCATTTCAAACCGTCCCCTCCCCCCCCATAAAATAGGACAGTCCTCTTCCCTTGACTTCCTTTACAAAGTTGCTCAGATTGCATTCCATGTTATTACATCTGAATCTATCTCATTCTTCCTCACTTCTGTGTGATATTCCCCTCCGTGAATGAACAATTTACTTGTTCAATTGATGGACTTTAGACTGTTGGTATTTTTTTTTCAATTATTAAAAACATTTAATGTTTTAAAGCCTTATTCTGCAGTTGGTAGAGGTTTGAAAATGTATGTAAAAAGAGTCTTGTTAAAGATGATCAAATAGAATGAAATATTTTGAATATTTTTTTACCGTCCCTATTTGAAATTCCAGGTTTTTTTATTCTTTTATATTTGTATAGTGTCATATTGTCTATTTTGTCAGTGTTTTTAAAAAGAAAACGGAGGGGCGCCTGGATGGCTCATTTGGTTAAGCATCTGCCTTCGGCTCTGGTCATGGTGTCAGGGTCCCAGCATCAAGTCCCACATCGGGCTCCCTGCTCAGCGGGGAGTCTGCTTCTCCCTCTCCCTCTGCCCTCCCTTCTGCTCTTGTTCTCTCTCTCTCTCTCTCCCTTGCTCTCCTTCGCAAATAAATAAAAGAAAAAAGAAAACTTCAGTCTATGGAAAGATAAGGGATTTCAGCTGAGCTGAGTAGGATAGGTAAAGCCTAAGGGTAAGAATGGTAAAAGAAAGTGTAAGGAAGTAGTGCAGGAATGTATAATGAAATATTTACTATATTTAAGAGACTCAGGTAAAGAGCTTTTTAATAAATATTGTTAGGAAAATTGGGTAGCTATTAAAAAAAGTTGGATTCAAATATACTGTATAATGAGGGTAAACTCCAAACAGAGCTAAGATTAATATTTTAAAATTAAATGATATAAATTCTAGAAGAAAAGATGCATGAATGTCTTTTATTCTTGGAGTGGGACAGCCTTTTTTTACTATGACTTATCTGGGAGCCATAAAAGAAAAGATTGACAAGACTATAAACATAAAAAACTTATGCATAGTCAAGTGAACATCATAAAATCAAAACTTGAAAGCAGATGACACACATGGGAAAAAAAGATTCGCAATTGATAACATAAAGGGCTAATCTCCTTTAAATATATAGAGTTCCTAGAAAAAGATAAAAAATCAATTAAAAATGGATAGAACAGAGGTGCCTGGGTGGCTCAGTCGGTTGGGCGTCTGCCTTCAGCTCAGGTCATGATCTCCAGGGTCTTGGGATCGAGTCCCACATCAGGGAGCCTGCTTCTCCCTCAGCCTGCCGCTCCCCCTGCTTGTGCGCGCTCTCTCTCTCTTTCTTTCTGATAAATAAATCTTTTTTTTTTTTTTAAAGATTTTATTTATTTATTCATGAGAGACAGAGAGAGAGAGAGAGAGGTAGAGGGAGAAGCAGGCTCCCAAGGAGCAGGGAGCCTGATGTGGGACTCGATCCCAGGACCCCGGGATCATGACCTGAGCCGAAGGCAGACGCTTAACCATCTGAGCCACCCAGGCGCCCTGATAAATAAATCTTTTTAAAAAAGGGCGCCTGGGTGACTCAGTTGGTTAAGCAACTGCCTTCGGCTCAGGTCATGATCCTGGAGTCCCGGGATCAAGTCCCACATCGGGCTCCCTGCTCAGCAGGGAGTCTGCTTCTCCCTCTGACCCTCCTCCCTCTCATGCTCTCTGTCTCTCATTCTCTCTCTCGCAAATAAATAAAATCTTAAAAAAATAAAATAAATAAAATAAAAAGCTTTAAAAAAAGGATTAGTTAAGTAGACTCTGACGAATCCATCAAATTGAATACTATGCAACTAGTTGTAAAATGAAAAAAGAGGAACCTCTCCATGTCCTGTTATGGAAAAAAGCAAGATGGCAGAACTGTATATAGCAATCTTTTGTGATAGAGAAAAGGTAACATATATTCATGTTTGCCAGTATTTGCAAAATCAAACACTAGGAGATTAAAAAATGGTTGCCTATTTGAGAGCGACGAAGACCAGGGTGGATTAGGACAGGGATGGGAATGCAATTTTTCAGTATATACTCTTTTATAGTGTTTTGAATTTCTTATCCCTGTAAGTATATTACCCATTAAATTTGGGGAAAAAACAATTAAATGAAGTATACAAATAAGATAAATGTATCCTATTTAAGGATACATCTTAATTTTAAATAATGAATAATAGGATTATACTAAATCAGGTGGTTTTGTAACTTCTGAAATTTCTTTTTCTTGACTATATGAATTTCAGTATGAGAACAGATGCAAGCACCTATTTTGCAGCAGCTGGTCCTTGACTGGTGAGAATGTTTAAATACTAGTATTTAACACTTTCCCTAGTCAGCAGTAAATTTCATACCAAAGAAAGCTTTGGTATATTGTATGCTTCTCTTTTGTTTTAATTGTGATAAAATATACACAACATAAAATTCACCATTTTTTTTTTTTTAAGATTTTATTTATTTATTTGAGACAGAGAGAATGAGAGAGAGAGCACATGAGGGGGGAGGGTCAGAGGGAGAAGCAGACTCCCTGCCGAGCTGGGAGCCCGATGCGGGACTCGATCCCGGGACTCCAGGATCACGACCTGAGCTGAAGGCAGTCAGTCGCTTAACCAACTGAGCCACCCAGGCGCCCCAATTCACCATTTTTAAGTGTACAGTTTAGCGGTATTAAGTACATTTCCTTTATTGTGCAGCCATCACCACCATCCAACTCTAGAACTTTTTTGTCATCTGGAACTGAAACTCTGTACTTATTACTCACTCACTCTGTTTACCCCTCTTCCCAGCCTCTGGTAACCACTATTCTGCTTTTTCTGTCTCTCTGACTTTGACTATTCCAGATATCTCATGTAAGTAGAATTGTACAATATTTATTCTTTGTATTGTATAGTTTTAAAATAGCCTTTATTGTAGTTGGATGTCTGTGGAACTTAAGGCTTTCTTTTTTTTTTTTTTAAAGATCTTATTTATTTGACAGACACAGCGAGAGAGGGGACACAAGTAGGGGGAGTGGGAGAGGGAGAAGCAGGCTTCCTGTGGAGCAGGGAGCCCGATGTGGGGCTCGATCCCAGGACCCTGGGACCATGGCCTGAGCCGAAGGCAGACGCTTAATGACTGAGCCACCCTGGTGCCCCTGAACTTAATTAAGGCTTTCTTGTTGCCATCTAGGGAAAACCTTCTGAAAAATGATGCATTCTTTCAATAGGTGGCAGTCTTTCCTTTGTTACAAACTAATGGTTCCTTTTCTGATATTATTTAATACTACTTCTCTTTGTGAAAATACTCACATGAATCCCAAAAAATTTTACCTGATCTAATTTTTTTAAAGATTTTATTTTTAGGAACGCCTGGGTGGCCCAGTCGGTTGTCTGCCTTCGGTTCAGGTCATGATCCCAGGGTCCTGGAATCGAGTCCCACATCGGGCTCCTTGTTCAGCGGGGAGCCTACTTCTCCCTCTGCCTGCCGCTCCCCCTGCTTGTGCGCAATCTCTCTCTCTCTTTCTCTCTCTCTCTGACAAATAAATAAAAATCTTTTAAAAAAGATTTTATTTTTAATCAATTTTCACACCCCGCGTGGGGCTCAAACTCACAACCCCAAGACCAAGATTCGCATCTTCCACTGACCTAACCAGCCACGTGCCCCAACCTAATTTTAAAGTAACCAATGGAATTACTGATTCATTATCAATTTTTTTAAAGATTTTATTTATTTATTTGAGAGAGAGGGAGACAGACGGAATGAGGGGGGGAGGGCCAGACTCCCTGCTGAGAGCAAACCTCTGGAGCCAGATGGGGGCTTCTGAGATCATGACCAGAGCCGAAGTCAAACACTTAACCAACTGACCCACCCAGGTGCCCCTCATCAATTTTAGTTTAAGAGGAGCTCTTAATGTTTATAATTATGCTGCATTAGGCAGCACACCTGCAGAAGGTGGTGTCCCTTGCTTGTTAAGGGGCATGTGATAAGGGCTTACATTATAACAGATGAAATGCAGCAACAAAAAAACCCATACCAGTATGCCCAAGAATCACAAATACTGACACATCTTATTTTTAAGTAATAGAATCAAGGATTATACTAAATCAGGTGGTTTTGTAACTTCTCAAATTTCTTTTTCTTGACTATATGAATTTCAGTATGTGAACAGATGCAAGCACCTATTTTGTAGTAGCTGGTCCTTGACTGGTGAGAATGTTATATTTGTCAGCAGAGCCTGTTTACAGCAGTGCTGACCCACCTAGGTAAGCATCTTCCCATTTCTTGCTTTGGGCAGTTTTGATTTCTCACTACAAACCGAGCAATTTTGCCAAGTGTCCGAAACCTGAGGACACAGGATTGTTTTGGAAGGAGCCTTAAGAGGTCACTTGGTAAATTTCATGCTGTACTGTCAGGAAAATCTAACCCACTTTAGAAAGATAGCTTTCTGCCTTAATCATGGAGATTTTTAGCCTTGACCTTCCAACTTATCTCCATTCTCATCATCCTTATTCTAGCCAGAAGTTTTTCTTGGTGACTAATTTGAATCTGTTATTTCTTGAGTCTTTTCCTTCATGATCCACCTTTAGTGGAACTAACAAACAGTAGTAATAGATGATTTTTTAGAAGTGTTCAAATAGGGGCGCCTGGGTGGCTCAGTCGTTAAGCATCTGCCTTCGGCTCAGGTCATGATCCGAGTCCTGGGATCGAGCCCCGCATCGAGCCCCGCATCGAGCCCCGCATCGAGCCCCGCATCGAGCCCCGCATCGAGCCCCCTGCTCAGCGGGAAGCCTGCTTCCGCCTCTCCCACTCCCTCTGCTTGTGTTCCCTCTCTCGTTGTGTCTCTGTCAAATAAATAAATAAAATCTTTTTTAAAAAAAGTGTTCAAATAGCTGCTTTTAGAGAAGGATGATCTCTAATCGGAAGAATGACTGATTTCACTTCTGTGATTTTTTACTGATTCATTCATATAATCTCATTTGTGAAGAAAATAATGTTTCTTTGCCCTCAATATTTTATGTTCTTTCAAACTGAGAAACTTAGTACCAAGTATTTTAAGATCATAGTGAACCTACATATTTATGGCAGAACCAGAATAAAGATTACACAACTTCTACATTCAACAGAAAAACTTGTTTACTGCATCGTTATACTGTATATTATTTCTAAGTACCACAATGAGACCAGCTCCCTAAAAAAATATAGGAAAATTTCACAATTAATAGGAAAATATCACAAATAGATAAAGATAAATTTGGAATATTCTGAAGTCCAATTTTGTTACTTTAATGTATACAAAGTATAAAAATGTTGATGACAGTAGTCTTTTTACTTAAAGAAGGAGATAAGCTCAGTTTGTCGTTAACAAACCATATATTGAAGTAGGCTGCCAGATAAGAATAGTTTTTCTTAAGTAGGTTAAGTAACTGTTTTTAACTTAAGTATAATTAATATGCAATGTATATTAGCTTCAGGTGTACAACATACTGATTTTACAATTCTATACTTCAGTCAGTGCTTACCACAGTAAGTGTGGTCACCATCTGTCACCGTATGACGTTATGACAATATTATTAACTCTTTTCTCTATGCTGTAATTTTCATCTCTGTGACTTACTTATTTTGTAACTATAAGTTCCTACTAACATCCCCTCTGGCAACTACAGGTTTGTTCTCTGTATTTAAGAGTCTGTTTTTTGTTTGTTCATTCTCTTGTTAGATTCCACATATAAATGAAATGGTAATTGTCTTTCTCTGTCTGACTTATTTCATTTAGCATAATACCCTCTGGGTCCGTCCATAGTGTCACAAATGGCAAGATCTCATTCCTTTCTATGCTATGTCTGGGTAATAGTCCATTGTATTTATATACCACATCTTTATCCACTTATTTGTAGATTGATCTTTGTGTTGCTTCCATGTCTCAGCTATTGTTAATAATGATGCAATAAATGTAGGGGTTCATGTATTTTTTTGAATTAGTGGTTTTGTTTTCTTTGGGTAAATATCTAGTAGTGGAATTACTGGATCATATAGTATTTCTATTTTTAACTTTTTGATGAACCTCCATACTGGTTTCCACAGTGGCTGCATGGGTTTACCTTCACATCAACAGCGCACGAGAGTTGGTTAAATAACTTGGAGAAGTTTATTTATAGCCTACATTTAATTTTATCTCTCCCTTTCTTCATAATATAAAAATCTTACATTTATAATCAGATTTGTTATTAATGACTTAATGAGTTATTATTGAACTGTCATTTTAAATACTTTTGTTGACTTTGTTTCTCTTATAGAGAAGAAAACTCCATCTCAGCCCTGAGCACTGTAGTAACTTTTATGTGGAACAGTATGGGAAAATGTTTTTCCCCAATTTAACAGCTTACATGAGTTCTGGACCACTTGTTGCCATGATATTAGCTAGACATAAAGCCATCTCTTACTGGAAAGAACTTTTGGGACCAAGTAATACCTTAGTAGCTAAAGAGACTCACCCAGACAGGTAACTTTCCTAGGGGGAAAAATGGAATCCAAGTATAAGAATGAAACAAAACAAAACCAAACCCAAAACTGATTTCATTGTAATAGGAGTTTCTTTTCATTTGAAAGTTTTTCTAAGTCAACTTTTTGTTTTTTGGTTGGGATGGGGGTGGGGTCAGTTTTACATTTTAGCTATTAAAATGTCCATCTTAATACCATATACCCCAAAAGGCCTCAGGGAATTTCTGATTTAGCCTAATTCTTCTGATTAGCCTAATTGTTTTCTCATCCTTGAATGAAACTGCCCCCGAAGTAGGATTTTTCATAGGAAAATTGTCATGGCTTTTAAAAATAATATTGGTAATAGAAGGCCAGAAAAACAGATTTTTAGCATTATCATTAAAGTTTGGAAACACGAGGACATTGAATTCTTGCATTTTTTAATATACGTTGCCTTTTCACTTCTCACAAAGCAACACCTCCTCTTCACCCAGAGAACTCCTGTTTCCCAGTGTATCCCTCCTGCAGATTTAAATATATTTGACCCTCATCTAGGTAGATTTAAGCTTAAATTCAAAATAGATTAAAACTTCCATATGTGAGAAGTGGCAATGCTTCTGTAAAATTCCTAAGTAGAACGCATATGTAAAGAGTAAGGAAAGGCTATCACATTGGATGGTCATCATCTCTAACTTACTTTTAGTTTAAGGGCAATTTATGGCACAGATGACCTGAGGAATGCACTTCATGGGAGCAATGATTTTGCTGCAGCAGAAAGAGAAATTCGATTCATGTTTCCTGAAGGTGAGTTACCAATGAGTAATTTAGTCAAGTGCATCTCCCTATTGTTTGCTTTCTCTTTTATTTGGGTGATGTACCTGGGAACGAAGATAACAGGGTTTTTCTCCAATATATTTTGTCATATTTTGAAGTTACAGTTACTTACAAACTTGAGGCCAAGAATGGAAAATTCAGTATTTCCCTCAGAAACTAAATTGTGTCCTATAGGGAATCTTTTGAGAAGAGTTTACATTTTTCTTTCTTTTCTCTTAGACTGGCCATACTTAGGGTTTCTCTTCTCCTTTGTTGCAATTCCTTAAGTTCTCCGTAATGCATCAGTAAAGTTTGTTACACATGAAAAAAAGAATCTCCCTTGGAAATTATGATAGATTTCCCATTTTCTCTAACTCTTTACTGTTTGTCTAATGAATGTTTATGCGGTTGTGAAATTAGTAAGTCTCAGGCCCGTTTTTTGTTTCCATCCTGTTATGGAAGTTGTAAACCTTCTAGAAGTGGGCATAGTAAGGAATAACACTGAGGTTTTTAGTTTGTTTTCTTTCTTTTTTTTTTTAAAGATTATATTTATTTGACAGAGAGAGACACAGCGAGAGAGGGAACACAAGCAGGGGGAGAGGGAGAGGGAGAAGCAGGCTTCCCGCGGAGCAGGGAGCCCGATGCGGGGCTCAATCCAGGACTCAGAGATCACGACCTGAGCTGAAGGCAGACGCTTAATGACTGAGCCACCCAGGCACCCCTCATTTTTAAATTTTTAAGTAATCTCTGCACCTAACGTGGGGCTTGAACTCATGACCCTGAGATCAAGAGTTGCATGCTCCACTCCCTGAGCCAGCCAGATGCCCCACAAAACTATTTTATAGCTATTTGTACACAAAAGGATTTGCCTACTTACATATTTTATTCTTACTGATCTAATTTCTATCACATATCCCTTCCATTAGGGTATCTTTTTCTTTGGAATTGTTTATTGTGGAAATTTCAAACATAATCAAAAGTAGAATAATAAAAATAAACCCCTAATGAAACTATCACCCGACTTAAATAATTGTGATCTGTCTAATTATATCATCTATAACCTCTGCTTCTATTTCTAATGCTTCCACATTATTTTGAAGTACATCTCAAACATGAAGTCTTTTTAATGTGATAGTACTTAGATTTAGTCCTCTTAGTGAATTAGATTTTTTTTTAAAGACTTTATTTATTTATTTGACAGAGAGAGACACAGTGAGAGAGGGAACACAAGCAGGGGGAGTGGGAGAGGGAGAAGCAGGCCTCCCGCCGAGCAGGGAGCCCGATGTGGGGCCCGAACCAAGACCCTGGGATCATACCCGAGCTGAAGGCAGACACTTAACGACTGAGCCACCCAGGTGCCCCAGTGAATGAGATTTTCCTCTGATTCCAGACATCTCACCTCTCTCTGTTTTTTTCTCTTCTTATCAGTAAAATGCAAATATTATTAGTATTGCCTACCTAGTTAGGGATATTGTTAGGGTAGAATATATAAATGCATGTAAAATTCTTAGTGCTTGGTGCATATGTGCTCAAATATTAACTGCTATTATTGTTTGGTTTTCTCTAGTCCTTTTTTTAGAAGCTCTTCTTACTCATAGGGTTATATACCTAAACTGTTATTTTAGATTGCTTTTGATTTTACCACTAATTTGTCCTCTAGACATGAGTTTAAGAGATATAATTAGACATTTGAGAAGCAGCAGTTGTAGGATAAATATAAATGATTAATTACCTACCACACTACAGATCTTTTGCTGTGAGAATGTGAAGTTCTTTGGAGTAAATTCTCAGAGTTTGGGGTATGAGCTCTCTCTTGCTTAGCAGTCAGTCAAGAACTATTTGCAAATCCCTATATGATGATTCACTCAAGCAAGTCATAAAGATATTCAGACATGTTCCTAACCCTTGAAAAAATGTAGTGTCCTTACCCCTCCCTTTCAATAGAGATGGCTAATTCAAAGCTTTGCTATATTCCATTCCTTCAACAAATTTATTGAATTAACTACTATGTGCCGGAAATACAAAGATGAATAACAATAGGTCCCTGCTCTCAAGCTGATCGTATTTTAAAAATGTATAAAAATAAGTATACAATGCAATGTATAAACTACAAATGTCATTAAAGTGCCATGAAAATTCATCTGTGTAAGAAACATGAAAACCTTATTTTCACATTAATTCATCCAGCCCTAGTTGCTAGAGACAAATAATAAATGATCGGCAAAAATAGATGAGGTAGATGGGCAGCTGGGTGGCTCATTTGGTTAAGCATCCAACTCTTGATTTTGGCTCAGGTCATGATCTCAGGGTTGTGGGATTGGGCCCTATGTTGGGCTCTCAGCAGGGAATCTGCTTCAGGATTCTCTCTCTCCCTCTGACCCTCCCTCTGCTTGCTTGGGCATGCACTCTCTCTCTCAAATATCAAATCATTTTTTTTTTCTTTTTTTAAGATTTTATTTATCTGAGAGAGAGAGAGACAGAGATAGCCATAGAGAGCATGAGCGGGGAGGAGAAGGAGAAGCAGGCTCCCCACTGAGCAGGGACCCTGACACGGGGCTTGATGCTAGGACCCTGGGATCATGACCTGAGCTGAAGCCAGATGCTTAACCAACTGAGCTACTCAGGCACCCCTCAAATAATCTTTTTTTTTTTTTTTTTTAAAGAAGAAGATGAGGTAGAAATAATCCAAAAATGAAGTTAAGGGAATAATTTCTTTCACAATAGCATCAAAAATAATAAAATACTATTTCACTCATAGGTGGGATTTACGAAACAAAATAAAGAAAAAAGAGACAAAAACCAGATTCTTAAAAATAGAGAACAAACTGATGTTTACCAGAGGGTGGCTGGATGGGGATGAGTGAAATAGGTGAAGGGGATTAAGGGTACACTTATTTTGATGAACACTGAGCAATGTATAGAATTGTTGAATCACGGGGTGCCTGGGTGGCTCAGTCGCTTAAGCATCTGCCTTCGGCTCAGGTCATGATCCCAGGGTCCTGGGATCAAGCCCCACATCGGGCTCTCCACTCTGCGGGGAACCTGCGTCTCCCTCTGCCTACCACTCCCCCTGCTTGTGTGTGCTTACTCTCTCTCTCTGGTCAAATAAATAAATAAAATCTTAAAAAAAAAAAAAAAGAATTATTGAATCACTATGGTGTATACCTGAAACTAATATAACACACTGTATGTTACTTATACTAGAATTACATAGGTAAATAATAAAATACTTAGGAATAAATTTAACAAAAGAAGTACAATTCTTATATAATGAAAGGCATAAAACATTATTGAGAGAAGTGAAAGACTATCTAAAATAGATAGACGTCCCATGTTGATGGATTAGAAGAGTCAATATTGTCAGGATGGCAGTTCTTTCCAAATTGATCAATTAATTTAATGCACTTCCTATCAAAATCCATACATTCTTTTATGTAGAAACTGGCAAGCTGATTCTAAAATTTATCTGGAATTGCAAAAGATCTAGGCAAGCTAAAACAATTTTTAAAAAGAAGAAATAAGTTGAACTTCCACTAATCTTATTTCAAAACTTACTATGAGGGCGCCTGGGTGGCTCAGTTGGTTAAGCGACTGCCTTCGGCTCAGGTCATGATCCTGGAGTCCCGGGATCGAGTCCCGCATTGGGCTCCCTGCTCAGCGGGGGGGTCTGCTTCTCCCTCTGACCCTCCCCCCTCTCATGTGCTCTCTCTCTCATTCTCTGTCAAATAAATAAATAAAATCTTTAAAAAAAAAAAAAAACTTACTATGAGAGCTCAATAATTAAGACAGTATTATTCTAGACATATAGATCAATGAAAGAGAATTGAGAATCTAGGAATAAATCCTTACATTTTGGTCAGTTGACTTTAAACAAAAGTGCCTAGAAAGTTTGATGGGGAAAAGGTGATCTTTTCAACAAATGGTGCTAGGACAACTGAATACCCACATGCAAAAAAAGAGAAAGAACTCAGATCTTGTTTCATACCCCATACAAAATGTAACAACAAAGGATCATAGACCTAAACATAAGAGCTAAAAGTATCTAGAAGAAAACATGGGAAATCTTCATAACCTTGAGTTGGACAAAGGGTTTTTGCAAATGATAGCAAAAGCATGATCCATAAAAGAAAATATTGATAGGGGCGCCTGGGTGGCTTGGTCGTTAAGGGTCTGCTTTCGGCTCAGGTCATGATCTCAGGGCCCTGGGATCGAGTCCCACATCAGGCTCCCTGCTCTGCGGGAAGCCTGCTTCTCCCTCTCCCCCTCCCCCTGCTTGTGTTCCCTCTCTCGCTGTGTCTCTGTCAAATAAATAAATAAAATCTTAAAAAAAAAAAAGAAAGAAAATATTGATAAATCAAAATTAAAAGTTTGTATGTTTTATGTTTCAAAAGCCATCATTAAAAGTATTGAAAAGATTAACCACAGACTGGTAGGAAATATTTGAAAATCATATGAAATAAAGGACTTTTATCTAGGATTTATGAAGAACTCTTATACTTAATTCAGTAAAAAGAAGGCAAACAAAAACCAGGCAAAATTTTTGAATAAGCATTTCACAAAAGATACATGAATGGCTAATAAGCACATGAAAAGGTGTTAAAACATAATCACTGGGGAAATGCAAATTAAAATCACAATGAGTTAAAATAAAACAAAACAAAAAAAACACAATGAGATACCACCGCACACCCACTACAATGGATAATAATGGCAAGGATAAAGAGATACTGGGATCCTCATACATTATTGTAAAATGATAAAGCCACTTTAGAAAACAGTTTGGTGGTTCTTAAAACGTTGAACGTATGCTTACCATGTAACTCTGTTGCAATTCCGCTCCTCTTAGAATATACCCATCTAAGAGAAATGAAAACATAAATCTACATAAAGACATATGTGAATGTTTATAGCAGTACTATTTAGTACAGCCAAAAACTAGAAACAATCCAACTATGTATTAATGGTTAAACAAAATGTTGTATAGCCGTATAATAGAATACTATTCAGCAATTCAAAGGAACAAACTACTGATACATGCTACGCATTGGATGAAACTCAAAACAATGCTGAAAGAATCCAGGCACAAAAGACAACATACATGACCTGTTTATATGAAATATCCAGGAAAGGCAAATTTTTTTTATTGTGTTATGTTAATCACCATACATTACATCATTAGTTTTTGATGTAGAGTTCCATGATTCATTGTTTGCATATAACACCCAGTGCTCCATGCAGTACGTGCCCTCTTTAATACCCACCACCAGGCTAACCCATCCCTCCACCCCCCTCCCCTCTAGAACCCTCAGTTTGTTTCTCAGAGTCCATAGTCTCTCATGGTTTGAGGAAAGGCAAATTTTTAAATAGAAGCTCAGTGCTTGCCACAGGCTAGGAGTGGGAGTTGTAGTGGGAAATTGCAAATAGGCACAAAGAACATTTTTGGGGTAGTGAAGTGTTCTAAAACTGGATTGTGGTACTGATTGCACAACTATAAGTTTACTAAAAATTTATTGTATACTTTAGTGAGTGAATTTTATTATATGTGAATATACCTCAATCAATTTTTTTAGTAAAATTACAAAAAATAGATGAGGTCCCTGCTCCCTTGGAGTTTACATCTAATGTTCAGAAGATAGCCATTAAACAATAATTACCCAAATAATTGTACAGTTATGACTGTGTAGTTACTGTGTGGTAAGTGCTATACAAAGCAATTATAGGGTATTATGAGACTCTATGATAAGAAAGGCCCAATTGAGGAAGTGACATGAGATCCAGGGAAGAACATTCTAGCAGATGGAACAGCATGTCTCTCTCAAGTCATGAGCAAGAAAGAACATGACACATAGTATAGACAAAGATCAGAGGAAGATAAATATGAGGTTGGAGAGTAAGTAGAGATTACATGGTATAGAGTTCTGTGGGCTGTGGTATGGAGTTCTATCTTGACTGTAAATGCAATAAGGAACCAATGAAGCTTTTTAAGGATGGGAATGGCAATAATCAATTTTCATTTTCATTTTTATTTTTTAAGGATTGTATTTGAGAGAGGGAGAGAGCACAAGCGAGGGGAGGGGCAGAGGGAGAGAGAAGCAGACTCCCTGCTGAGTGGGGAGCCCAACATGGGGCTCAATCCCAGGACCCTGGGATCATGACCTGGGCTAAAGGCAGACACTTAACTGACTGAGCCACCCAGGTGCCCCTCAATTTTCATTTTTAAATATTACAAAGGGCCTGGGTACAGGGTACAGTGAACATGATAAATGTGGTCCTAACCTTCATGGAACTGAAAGAGAAGAAGAGACTGATGACAAATATTTGTGTAACCAAAATAAAAATTATTACAGTGATCAGTACAAAAAAGAGTGCTATAATGAGACTAATAGGAAAGGAACCTTTTACTCAAGTCCTTTGACACATTTCTTAGCTTTTCTTGGCATCTTGGCAAAGGACTCTCATTGTTAGTTGTCTCATTGAGACTGAGCCCATACACTAGTCATACAGAAATCTGTCTTCCCACCTTCTTTTTCCTTGGGTCAGTGACAATTTAAATCTGAACACATGAGACCAGTAGCTTCACATTCTTATCTTTATCAAAAGTTGCCCATTGATTGAGGTCAACCTCAAAAGACTTACTAAGACTTATAAAATATATTCTTTCTCATATAAATAGATTCTTTGTTGTACTGCAAGTCTGGTTGACCTACATAGTGTTCAAACAAGACTAAAAACACTAAAATTTTCCTAGATCTTACATAATTTATTTAAAAACCTGAAAAATAATAATTAAAAAAACCCTGAAAAATAAGAGCAGGAATGTAATATATACTATACACACAGAAATAGGTTTTATGTGTATATTCAATAGTTTATAAGAGAGCAAGAACTACTTGTTATTCACTGTTGTATCTATACCACTTTGTAAAATGCCTGCTATTTTGTTGGCAGGAATTAATTGTTGAAATGAATTAATCTCCTAAATTTTACATGTTCTTCATTTTCATGACATTGTCCATGGTAGTATTTACTGTAAAAAATATGGAAATGGAAATGCAGACAAGGATATAGTAGAAAACATCATCAGAATCTTATACATGATCAATCTTAGTGTTTTGATACATTTTTTTTGCCAGTCTTACGTGGTCTTATTATTTCTCTGTGTGTGCTTGTGTGTTTTTGAACAAACTGTGCTACGTATCTAGTTCTGTTTCCTTTTTGTAAAAAACAAAACAAAACAAAAAACCTTTTTAAGTATTATCCACTAAAATTTCTTTCTTTGTAATGATTATATAATATTTCATCATTTGTGGTAGTTTTAATTGGAATACATTTGTCTTTGCAGTGATTATTGAACCCATTCCAGTTGGACAAGCTGCTAAGGATTATTTAAATTTATATGTAACACCAACTCTGCTTGAAGGACTCACAGCACTTTGTAAGGAGAAACCAGCAGATCCTTTTGTAAGAAATCTTTTTATTCACGCTAAAGAAATTGTCTATAGTTTTCATATTTAAAACATTGTATTTTTTGAAACTGAAAGTATTAAGAGCATTTTAAAAACTATTTCATATACATTTTAGATACTTAAGTATAACTTTTGATTACTTATTCTCTTACTGTATTTTAACTGTTTTTTTTTTTAAGATTTTTTTTATTTATCTGAGAGAGAACACATGAGCTGAGAAAGGGGCAGAGGGAGAGAGAGAATCCTCAAGCAGACTCCCTGCTGAGTGCGGAGTCAGACACAGGGCTCTATCCCAGGACCCTGAGATCATGATCTGAGCTGAAAGCAGACACTTAACCAACTGAGCCACCCAGGCACCCTGCTGTATTTTAACTCTTAAAGAACACTGTTCCTACAAAACAAAAACAAAAAAACCCCATTGTTTCTAAATATATTTTCAGGGCGCCTGGGTGGCTCCCTGAGTTGGTTATGTGACTGCCTTCGGCTCAGGTCATGATCCTGGAGTCCCAGGATCGAGTCCTGCATTAGGCTCCCTGCTCAGCAGAGAGTCTGCTTCTCCCTCTGATCCTCCCCCCCACCATGCTCGCTCTCTCTCATTCTCTCTCTCTCAAATAAATAAATAAAATCTTAAAAAAAAAAAATACATTTTCAGTTGCTGTGACCTTCAAATACAGATCATTGTTTAGGGGTATAATTTATATAATCAAATGATAAAATTAGATACATATTTGAATTTTGTTCGATATTTTTATTTTTAATGATATCTAATTTTTTTCATAGAAAACATATTTATTCACATCCCTAGATACTTCAGCATTGCTCAGTCAGGTGGAAGAATAGTTGGGTAGGCGGAACTAGGATGGTGTCCTGGGCCAAATGTCTTCCTTGCTCCTTCCTTACAGGTACTCCCACTCATTTGAAGATTCAGAGATAATCAAGGAAGTTATTTCATTTATTTATTTATTTTTTAAGTAAGCTTTATGCCCAACATGGGGCTTGAACTCATAACCCCCGAGATCAAGAGTGGCATGTTCTTCCCACTGAGCCAGCCAGTCACCTCAGGGAAGGTTAATACCAGCCCTGACAAAATAGTATCTCCAGCCTCTGTTACCATTCTGAAAGGGAATCCCCTTTGGAAGACAAAAGATTTAATCTCTCCTACTAACTTTGTCACTTTCACTAAAAACAAAAGATAAGCAGGTTATTTCTTTTTTTTCTTTTTATTTATTTTAAGTAATTTCTACACCCAATGTGGGTCTCAAACTCATGACCCCTGAGATTAAGAGTCACACACTCTACTGACTGAGTCAGCTAGGTGCCCCTAGGCAGGTTATTTCTTTAATAACTCCTTTTCATTGTGACAATAACATATGTTTACTTAGTAAGAAACCTCATACTACTGAAAAGTTAAAGAAGGGCGCCTGGGTGGCTCAGATGGTTAAGCATCTGCCTTCGGCTCAGGTCATGATCCCAGGGTCCTGGGATCAAGTCCTGCATCAGGCTCCCTGCTCCTTGGGAGCCTGCTTCTCCCTCTGCTTCTCTCTCTCTTTCTCTCTCTCTGTCTCTCATGAATAAATAAATAAAAAAATCTTAAAAAAAAAAAAAAGAAAAGTTAAAGAAAAGAAAAAGATACCCCTGGTTCCATTTCCTAAACATGGTCTTTGAAATCATCTTGCCTAGATTCAACTCTGACTCCAGACATCTAAGCTCTGAGTTTTTCTCTTCTCATCAGTAAAATGCAAATAGATTAGTACCTGCCTACATAATAGGGATATTGTTAGGATTAAATATAAAAATGTATGTGAGGGCACCTGGGTGGCTTAGTTGGTTAGGCATCTGACTCTTGATAATCAGTTCAGCTCTTCATCTCAGGGTTGTGAGTTCAAGCCCCTCACTGGGCTCCACACTGGGTGCGGAGTCTACTTAAAAAAAAAAACAAACACCAAGAAGTATGAATGCATGTAAACTTCTTAGAGTGCCTGGTGCATACGTGCTCAAATATTAACTGCTCTTATTGTTTTGTTTTTTCCAGTCCTGTTTTTTCTTTGCTCAGGTTTTATTTTTTTAATTTCTATTACTATATTTAAACATATATCCCATAAATATCACTATATTTAGTTTTTTTAAAGATTTTATTTATTTGTCAGAGCGAGAGAGCACACAAACAGGGGGAGCAGCAGGCAAAGAGAGAAGCAGGCTCCTGCTGAGCAAGGAGCCCAGTGCAAGACTCAATCCCAGGACCTTGGGATCATGACCTGAGCCGAAGGCAGATGCTTAACCGGCTAAGCCACCCAGGCATCCCAAATATCACTATATTTAAATATATATTTTATAGAGATTATTTTAATAGTTAAGTGATTTCTTTTATTACCCTTACCATACTTCTTCTGCTGTTTGAGTTGTTTGCTATTATGAATAGTGTAACAGTAAACATCTTTGAGTATAAGGCTTTTCACACATTGAGATTACATCATTTGGAGAGAGATCAAAAAGTAGCGGGGTGCCTGACTGGCTCAGTACTAGAGCACATGACTCTTGATCTCAGGGTTGTGAGTTGAAGCCCCATGTTGGGCATGGAGCCTACTTAATAAAATGAAAAATAAAAAAAATTTAAAAGGTAGAATTATAATTCAAAACATATGAAAAGCTAAAAAAATTTTGCCCTTAACTTTCTTTTCTAATTAATTTTTTGAGTAATATTTAGAACAGTTTTTTTAATAAGCAATATTTAAATATGGTATACATTCAAAAATTACAAAAGGGTATATCATGAAAAGTAACTCTCATTCTCATTTCTGTTCCTTGGTCATTCAGTTATACTTCCTGGAGTCATTCACTCTTAGCAGCCTCTATATATCCTTTCAGCAGAGAAAATCTATACATACATAAGCATATACATTTTTACTTAAAAACATGTACATTTACAAATGCTAGCTACTAAAAAGGCCATTTGATACTTTTTACCTTATTTACTCAACATACAAATTATTAAATAACACCACAGACAAAATTGCCCTGTTTTAAAAGAACAGCTCATGGCATTCTCTTGAATTGATTTCTACAGTTTATTAATTAGTCACATATAGATGGTAGTTTAGGTTGTTTCTATTCTTTTGTTACTGTGAACTGCCAACAGTCAATATCTTCATTCATATGTCTGTGTACCATATATCTATAGAATAAATTCCTACAAATGGAAATACTGAGCCAAAAATAATGTTATTTTTTTAAAAGAATTTGTTTTGATGTGTTTGATATGTGCATTTTTAATCTGGATAAGTATTGCCAAATTTTGTAGTGGTTGTACCATTTTATACTCTGCTTAAAAGTGGATGAGAGGGGGCTCCTGGATGGCTCAGACAGTGGAACATGTGACTCTTGAGCTCCAGGTCATAACTTCAAGCCCCACACTGGGTGTAGAGTTTACTTAAAAAAAAAAAAAAAAGATGGGGCGCCTGGCTAGCTCAGTCAGAAGAACATGCGGCTCTTGATCTTGGGTCATGAGTGTGAGCCCCATGTTGTGTGTAGAGATTATGTAAATAAATGAAAAACTTAAAAAAAAAAAAAGGAAGAACAAAGTTAGAAAATTCTCCAAATTTATTTTTCATTTTCATGATTATTTTATATATTCAGAGCCTCTTGAAATTCCATATGAATTTGAGGATTGACTTTAACATTTCTGCAAAAATGTTTTTGGGAATTTCATAAGGATTGGATTGAATCTATAGCTCACTTTAGGTAGTAATGACATGTTAACAGCATTAAGTCTTTCAGGGCACCTGGCTGGCTTGGTCGGTGGAGCATAGGATGTTTGATCTCAGGGTTGTGGGTTTGAGCCCCACTTTGGGTGTAGAGATTACTTAAAAAATAAAATCTTTAAAAAAAAAAGAAAAAATAGTATTAAGTCTTTGTATCCATGAACACAGGTTATCTTTGCATTTACTCAGGTCTTTAAATTTCTTTCAGCAACACTTTATATAGTTTTCAGTATACAAGTTGGTTAAATGTACTCTAGATTTTTTTTTTTTAATGCTACTGAAATGGAAGTGACTTCTTATTTTCCTTTTGGGTTGTTTATTGCTGATATATAGAAACACAAATGATTTTTGTGTTGATCTTTTAGCCTACAACTTTGCCGAATTCATTTATTAGTTATAATAGCTTGTGGATTCTTTGGGATTTTCTATATATAGGATCATGTCATCTGTAAAAGGAGATAGTTTTACTTCTTTTCCAATTTGGATCTATACTTGACAATCTTGCATAATGTAAAACTTAGTGTTTCAGTTTTTTAATGGTCATTTTCTCATTCTCAGTGATTTTGAAAACTATGTTTTAAATTGATATATATACTACTTAAAGTGTAAGGTTATATATAGTATATATTTATATCATTCATAGTATATATTTATAATTTATAGTATATATATTTAAATGTTTATTACAAGTTTTTTTCTTTTTTCCATAGATTTGGTTAGCTGATTGGCTCCTGAAAAATAATCCCAACAAGCCAAAGCTGTGTCACAATCCAGCTGCAGAAGAACCTTAAAATAAAATTCCTCAAAGAACAAATCACTATCTTACTGTGAAAGACATGCTTCTACTTTAAAACAAACAAACCGTCCTAAGGCTTTAAGTAACTACGTGTGAAATAAATTGTTTTTAAAAATATAAGTTTTAAAAGACTGTGTTTTGTGTATAAGATAGCATTATCTAAGGTAAAATATAGCTTTAGTAAAGGTATGATTTTTGTTTTCTTTTTTTTTTTTTTAAAGATTTTATTTATTCATTTGAGACACAGAGATACACAGAGAGAGAGAGCATGAGCAGGGAGAGAGGCAGAGGGAGAGGGAGAAGCAGGCTCCCCGCTGAGCCAGGAGCCCGATGTGGGGCTTGATCCCAGGACCCTGGGATCATGACCTGAGCCGAAGGCAGATGCTTAACCATCTGAGCCACCAAGGCGCCCCTGATTTCTGTTTTCTAATAAAAAAATTGATTTTATCCAGAAGTATTTAGAATGTTAATGAAGCAAATGTAAGTTTTTTGTGATCGTAAAGTGGCATCCAGTTAGGAGACCAACAACTAATTTATATAAGACACGTTAGAAACAACTGAAGATGAAAAGACTGTGTGCCCACAAGAACCTGCTTTCGATTCCTGTGCCTCTTGTCACACAGGCAAGGGTAGTCGTAAAGGTAGTGAAAATGCCACCAGGACAGGCGTAGCTGAAGACAATTTTGAACTTTCTTTATGTTTCCCCTTTAGGAGGAATGTAGGTTTCCATTTCTTTTAAAGATTTTATTTATTTGAGAGAGCGAATGAGATAGAGCATGAGAGGGGGGAGGGTCAGAGGGAGAAGCAGACTCCCTGCTGAGCAGGGAGCCCGATGCGGGACTCGATCCTGGGACTCCAGGGTCATGATCTGAGCCGAAGGCAGTCGCTTAACCAACTGAGCCACCCAGGCGCCCTTCCATTTCTTTTAGAACTGCCTTGTCTGCATTTGCCATGTCTTCAAAGTTACTTTCTCTTCAGCAGACATGGTCTTCTACCTCTTGAGCTCTTTTTGTAAAACTCTGAGAAGGTAACTGAAGCATCTAGTTGCTTCTTGTGCTCCTCCTGGAAAGCTTGCACAAAGAATGCCTATGATGACATTTCGCTTCTTGGTCTCTTAGGATCTTCTTTGCCTGTGTATAGTTATTTTTGTCAGTGTGACACAGTCACCCAGTCACCCAATAGAACAACATCATTGTTCTATTACATCAAGTAATAGAAGACTGATATAAGATGTTGCTATATTATTATTTTTTTTAAGTTAGAGAAATAAGACATTGAAACTTTTTTTTTTTTTTTAAGTAAGTTCTACGCGGGGCTTGAACTCATGACCCCAAGTCACATGTTCTACCAAATGAGCCAGCCAGGCACTACAAGACACAGAATTTTATTTTATTTTATTTATTTATTTATTTATTTTTAAAGATTTTATTTATTTGAGACAGAGAGAATGAGAGACAGAGAGCATGAGAGGGAGGAGGGTCAGAGGGAGAGGCAGACTCCCTGCCAAGCAGGGAGCCCGATGTGGGACTCGATCCCGGGACTCCAGGATCATGACCTGAGCTGAAGGCAGTCGCTTAACCAACCGAGCCACCCAGGTGCCCAAGACACAGAATTTTAGTTAAATATTTTCCTAAGCATATATCCTATATCTAGATGCATAAATAATACACAGTTCAAATAGTTTAATTTAAAAAGTTTAAGTATATATAAAAACTAACGATGTACTGTATGGTGACTAACATAACATAATAAAATTAAAGTAAAAAAATTAAAAGTTTAAGTATATAAATAATTATTTTGTATAATTAAAATGGTCAGAACCAGGTTAGGATTTTAACTAATCGTTTATATATAACTATATCCTCAACAAGTGCCTTCTAAGTGTGACCAGACAGGTAACAATTCATCCTGGTTTGCTTACGACTTTCCTGGTTGTATAACTGAAAGTCATGCATAACCTGGAGTTTCTTTAGTCCTGAGCAAAATAGAATGCTTGATCGCTCTACCAAATAGTCCTTAGGTTAGCATTTCCCAATTATGTTTTGGGGATAAGGTACTAGTTTTATTTTTATTTATTATTTTTTTAAAAGATTTTATTTATTTATTTGACAGAGAGAGACACAGTGAGTGAGGGAACACAAGCAGGGGGAGTGGGAGAGGGAGAAGCAGGCTTCCGCCAAGCAGGGAGCCCGATGCGGGGCTCGATCCCAGGACCCTGGGATCATGGCCTGAGCCAAAGGCAGGCAGACACTTAACGACTGAGCCACCCAGGTGCCCCAAGGTACTAGTTTTAAAAGAAAATGTGAAATCCTCAGTTCTCAAATTTTTAAGTTATTTATTTAAGTAATCTCTACACCCAATATGGGGCTCAAACTCACAAGCCCAAGATCAAGAGCTTCACCCTCTACAGACTGAGCCAGCCAGGCACCCCTCAGTTCTTAAATTTTAATTTACTCAAAAACAAAAACAAAAAACCAGGTTGTAAAGCACCTTATTAACAGTAGATATTTAAACTGGCCTAATCTCTTCAAAAAGTCAATGTCATTATAAAACAAAAAGTAGAAATGCAGAGGAACTGTTCTAGATTGAAAGAAACTAAAGAGGAGTACCTGGATGGCTCAGTTGGTTAAGGCTCTGCCTTCGGCTCAGGTCATGATCCTAGGACCGGGGGATCAAGCCCCGCATCGCATTGGGCTCCCTGCTCGGCAGGAAGCCTGCTTTTCCCTCTCTCACTCCCCCTGCTTGTGTTCCCTCTCTCGCTGTCTCTCTCTGTCAAATAAATAAATAAAAATCTTAAAAATAGGGGCGCCTGTGTGGCTCAGTCGTTAAGCGTCTGCCTTAGGCTCAGGTCATGATCCCAGGGTCCTGGGATCGAGCCCCGCATAGGGCTCCCTGCTCAGCCAGGAGCCTGCTTCTCCCTCTCCCACTCCCCCTGCCTGTGTTCCCTCTCTAGCTGTCTCTCTGTGTCAAATAAATAAATAAATAAATAAATCTTTAAAAAAAAAATCTTAAAAATAAATAAATAAAAATAAAAAGAAATAGACTAAAGAGACATCTAAAACTAAAGCATCTTGGGGCGCCTGGGTGGCTCAGTTGGTTAAGCATCTGCCTTCAGCTCAGGTCATGATCCCAGGGTCCTGGGATTGAGCCCTGTGTTGGGCTCCTTGCTCAGCGGGGAGTCTACTTCTCTTCATTTGATCCTGGTTAAAATATATATATACACATATGTATATTTATATGATATATATAATATATATATCACTTATATGATATATCACTTATGTGATATATATGATCTTTGGAGGACAATTAAGGAAATTTGGATATGGATTAAATATTAGATGGTATTAAGGAATAATTGCTAAATCATAGGGTCAAAATGATAGACCATAAGAGGAGAATGTAATTATTTTAAGATGATGCAGTCTGAAATATTTAGGATAAAGTTTTTGATGTTTGCAACTTATTTTCAGTTTTGCAAGAAAGAAATATTTTTATACATGTATAGATAAAGCGAAATTACTAAAATAATTAACAATTCAGTCTAAGCACTCTAGTGTTCATTGTACTGTTCTTTCAACTTTTCTGTATTTTAAAACTATTCACAAATGAAGTTGGGGAAAAAAAGAAAAGATCTGACTGTCTGCACCATAATCTAGTGGTCAATTTTTCACATGATTGATAGGGAGACATTCAGATGTTATATACCTCTTGATTGTACAGAATGAAATATGCTAGTCATCTAGCCAAACAGTAAAATAGGAGATAAAATGATCACCTAAAGGACACCATAAAGAAGCAACCAGAGTGGCACCTGGCTGGCTCAGTTGGTGGAGTATGCGACTCTTAATCTTGGAGTTATGAGCTCGAGCCCCATGTTGGGGGTAGAGATTGCTTAAAAATAAAATTTTTTTTTAAGATTTTATTTATTTGAGAGAGAGAGAGAGCATGAGAGGGAGGAGGGTCAGAGGGAGAAGCAGATTCCCTGCTGAGCAGGGAGCCTGGGACTCCAGGATCATGACCTGAGCCGAAAGCAGTTGCTTAACCAACTGAGCCACCCAGGCGCCACTTAAAAATAAAAACAAAAAATGTTTAAGAAGCAACTAGAAAAATTTAGAAGATGGGATGATCTGCAGGATAGATACCCACATCTCAACACATTGTTGTCATGAAAAAAAGGGATTACTTTAGATTTAAAGAGACTTAAAATACATAATCAGAATCAATACTTGTTTCTAGATTGGACCCTGGTGTAGACAGAGAAGCTGCAAGGACCTTTTTGAGACACCTGGGAAGATTTGAATCCAGGTTGAGTATTAGATGAAATGAAAATGTATTATCTTGGAAGGTGAAGATTGTTGTTGTTTTTTTTTAAAGATTTTATTTATTTATTTGATAGAGACACAGCGAGAGAGGGAACACAAGCAGGGGAAGTGGGAGAGGGAGAAGCAGGCTTCCTGCCGAGCAGGGAGCCCGACTCAGGGCTGGATCCCAAGACCCTGGGATCACTACCTGAGCCGAAGGCAGACGCTTAATGACTGAGCCACCCAGGTGCCCTGGAAGATAAAGATTGTTAACTGGAAAAAACATGTTATAAAGCAATATGCACAGTGTAATCTCACTTTGATAAAAAAAGTATATTTATATATGGAAGATATGATGTGGAAGGATAGTCACCTGTTACATAATTGTTATATAATCTCTGGAAGGTGGGAATATACTTTTTTTAAAAAAATTTTTGCTTAGTGAGGCACCTGGGTGGCTCAGTCGGTTAAGCGGCTGCCTTTGGCTCAGGTCATGATCCGAGTCCTGGGATCAAGCCCCACATCGTCAGGCTCACTGCTCAGTGAGCAGTCTGCCTCTCCCTCTCCCTCTGCTGCTTCCCCTGCTTGTGCTCTCTTGTTAGAGCTCTCTTCCTCTCAAATAAATAAATAAAATCTTTATTTTTATTTTTTTATTTTTTTAAAAGATTTTATTTATTTATTAGAGAGAGAGACAACGAGAGAGGGAACACAAGCAGGGGGAGAGGGAGAAGCAGGCTTTCCGAAGAGCAGGGAGCCCTACGCGGGACTCAATCCCAGGACCCCGGGATCATGACCTGAGCT